AAAAAAAAAAAAAAAAAACCTTCTTTACCATCTCTAAAAACAGAAGTGGCATTTATCATATTTTTTTATGGCTGCCAAAGTTAACGCGTTAACGTAACTTCTTTAAATGCCACTCTTTTTTTTTATGTGCGCGTTCTGTGACCTTGGGACCGCTCCGTAGTTTGAAAGCTGCATGTTCAGCCCTGCCAGGTGGTTTTCTCGACAAGACCAAAGTAATATGTACCTACTGTCAATGGGAATTAAGTAACGACCGGAGTAGGTCAAGTTTAAAAATATCACTGGTTCACAGACGCACCCCCCCTCCGCCTCGCAAGCAGACCACTCTGGATAGTTTTTGAAGGAGCCGAGAGGAGATCATAACTGGTCTAACTGCACTATAGAGGCTGAGTCCTGGTTCTGTGGTACACTCCCACTGTTACAAGCACACTTTATGTATTGTTTTTGTTTGTTTTTGTATCAGCCTGTTTTGATCCCAATTAGCAGAAGGGGCGGTTTTTATGATGTTGCCCCCATGTGAGGATAGACACAATTACATTGTGTGAGATTATCTGTTTTACGTTTGAAGGATCCAATGATGATTTGAGCTGCTTAAAGAAACAGGGGATGTTTAGTCAACCTTGACAAATGTTAAGTTTTAAACTACATGTATTACTATCCAATGTTATATTCAATATAACTATCTGTTTAATGTGGGGATTCAGTTTGCCTAATTTTAGAGCATACAGCACCTTTGGGGTTATTCTGGAGAATATTTATCTTTAATAAACAGACATTTCTTATAAAGCAATCATATTTGTCCACTCCTATGTTGATAAGAATATCAAAAACATGTAAAATAAATAAGATTAATTTAGAATAGATAAAAAGCCTACAAATAATTTGTGACTAATCGCCAGTTTACTTTGGACAATCAATCCACGACAGCCCTATATTTCTTATGATAAAATGAGGATGCATTAGCCAAAGTATTGTGTGATGAAAATCATGTATTTGTTTTCCAGGTTCCTGGTCTTTATGGATGATCACACGCCGCTCTATGTGAACCTACCTAGCCTTCACCTGGTGTGCAGACCATGTAAGTTTGTCTCATTCATTCACATCAACAGATTTCAAGATTAGCACAAGTTGCTCTGATCAGAGTCCAGTCTGAGAGCTGTTTGCTGCCTCAAAAATGTGTTTCGCTCTATTCAAGTGTACCGGTAATCACCTGGGGCCTCATTTATAAAGCCTTGCGTAGGATTGACGTGGGAAGGTTGCTTACGTAGGACAAAGCAAATAAATACGCACCGACACTTCCCGATTCATAAAAGACTGCGTACCGGCAAAGGACTTGCGTAAATCACAATGAACTTGAAATGCGGCGCAGCTTTTGCGGGCTTCACGTAACGCCCATATTTGCCTATAAATAGTCAAAGAAACGCCCATTCATTCATTAATTCTGACTGAGTGCGTGAAGAAGATCGCAGGAAATGACGACAGAACAGCTAAAAAAAGAAATCTCACACCGTGTCAGATTTAGGTTATTTTGGGGAGGTCGAGATAAATCATATTGTTTGGTGGATGCAGTTTGAACAGAGTAGCAGCATGGAAGTCGGATCGTCACCAAAATAAATAAATGGTCCGAAAAAAGTTAATGACAAAAGAAATACACATAGCCTTCCTCAGGCAGTGTGTTTGTACCAGGGACAGGAGACCCCTCCCCCCCCTTGATGAGAAACTGTAAGAAATGATCGGGGAATCCATCCGGAGTGGAGTCATGACGACTGGATCTGAATTATTTTTTTTGTATTTGGTGGTTTGTGTTCCAGCTTTCGATAAGCAACTATATATCCATAATCCACCAGTTAAGGAAATACAACTAATGTGTTGTTATATTAGCTGTACAATTTACCACATATGGTGCTCTTAGTTTCCATACCTCTTGTGTTTTACGAGCGACTTATCAAGTATTGGCGAACGGCATAAAACATGATTAAACATGATAGTATATAAAACCATGCTCGTATCTACAACCTATTGAAATGCAAACCGGCGTCAGTTTAATGTAATTCCCTCCTTCTGTTTACTGCATCATTTATGAGAATACATTTCTTAACGAGAACATAATCGAGGGGTGATCAATAACATTTCCGTATTTATTTCTCCAAGTTATGTTTTTGTGTGCACGGAGGAGTCTCAAACAGGCGTTTATTAAATCATTTTAAGATTGACTTTAATCCATTTGTGAAAATGAATTCTTCATACATGATAAATGAGAGCTAACTTTCATTTATGGTATTATTTCCACACATCTCTCTTCCTTCTGCCAACGGTGTCGCAGTTTCTCGTCCCTCCCGTTTTTGTGCTTAGTGCGTACGCATGGGTCAGAGTTTGCGTGGAGGACCGCACATTTTCCCGTCAAGTTAGTATTTTATAAATCGCAAACATGCATAGAAACTGGCGTACGCCATTTTTTGAGCGTATATCCCTTTTTATAAATGAGGCCCCAGGACCCTGAAACTGAAGCAGATAAATGGAATTCAGCCATACGCAATAATTAACCCAAAAATGTTGTCCGTTAAAAACATGTTACCTCTGGAAATATGTGAATAACAATAACTGCATAAGATTCCTGACAACAATGCATGTGCAGCAGTTATTTCTCAACAACTTACCCACTTATTTGACATCTGTTGCCATCAGCAAGTAGGTTAGCCTGCCTTAATGCTAAACTACAGAGCAGCATTATGATACATTTAACTGATGACCCTCTATGGCAGGGGTGTCCAAACTATGGCCCGGGGGCCAAATGCGGCAAAAGTATAATGAATTATGGCCCACAAATTAAACATCTGCTATTGTACTTCTTAAATATACAATGTTCAAATATATAACACAGTATTAATGTGTTGAATAAATTCAGTGAATTAAAG